CAAATTAGTTATCATAAATCAGTTAAATGACGAAAAATTAGGTGTATATTTACTTGTGACCACTCAGTGTAGAGAGAGTAATATTCTGACTACCAGTAAAAGCAAAATTAAAGTTCTAAAACAAAAGAAAGTATTTTTCATGTTTGCTTGTTTTTAAGCAGTGTTTCACAAGAAATTTACTATTTATTAAGTTTGTACTAAGTTTAATGTGATTTGGTTTTATGTATTTCTGCTATGATAAGGGAAAAAAGATCAAGATATATCAGTGACACCCCTACAGTCTGGAAAGGGTTAAATAAAAACTATAAACTGGCATAATTCCTGTAGTCTGCTTTATCGATAAAATATTTTCCTAATAAAATGGTGCATTTTGTTTCATAACATTATTGTGATTATGAGATAAATTGTCTATTATAAATCCTGTCAATTATAAATAACTGTTTCTTACCTACTGTGTCTTATAAAAGTGAAGGCCATCTCAGTTTATTGTAGACACATAGATAGCTAAACTTTGAAGATCAGGCTCATATGCTGAATTGAATGCTGTAAACAAAAACTATTATGTACTACACAATAGTGTTATGGTTTCTTAGATTTTCACATGCCTAGCTCTATATATACTGGGTTATTTTTTTACTTCTTGCATTATGTTATTGACAAAGTAAAATGAGTCATCTATGAAGTCATGGCTATAGATAGCTTTAGTTATGTTTTATCTTTCTCATTGTAGTTGCTTTCATGTTCAGTTGCTAAGATGCAACTGATCTTATTTTCAGAGTTTTATTTAGCTGTTTAATATTCTTAGTAACAATTTTACTTACTAGGGTAGACCCCCAGTGTCGAAGTTCAGGTTTTACTTGCTAGTGTATATATATATAGCAGTGTCAAGGTCAGTATTTTACTTGCTAGTGTAGCCCCATTGTCAAGGTTAATATTTTACTTACTGCTGTAGGTTTGAATCTCAATTAAAGTTTTTACTTGCTAATTTAGATTCAATTATCATTGTTGCTAATTTTTTCTTATTCGTTTAAATTAACCAATCTTATAAGATCTCACTTAGTCCATTTTGTCAGTTGTTACTTAGCTGTGGTGAACCTGCTGTTGCTATTGCAAAAAAGTATGCTGCTTGCCAATATTACTTCAGCAATTGTATAAAGTGTTAGCTAAGTTAAACACTTTGACAAATCTTGTTTGAAAATAAACCCATAGAAAAGTAAGAAGGATTTTTTTTTAGTGCTGGCCAGCTTTCTCTACCATGTTATTGTATAATTTCTTTGTTTGTTTTAAGAATCTCTGTATTTTAAATTTCATGGTTTCCATGGTCATTCTGAACCTACAATATATCAAATTGCAAGCTTATAACCATAATCTGCATTTAACTTTCCTAAAGTTCAAGATAAGTTTATTTACATGCACAAGAGTTCTAATGCTTTTTGTGGTGTAGCAGTGTCTCTGTTTGGAATAATTGTCTCAGTTATGAAAATTGAAATATCTTAGTTACTAAAATTGAACTGGAAGGAAAGTTACTAAAATAGTGTTCTTGTATTGTAGAAAATAGTTGAGAGTAAAATGTTTACAGAATGTTTTTTTTTTCCCCTCCAAGTGAAACTGGTTCACAGTTGACTGACACTAATGATTTGAAAACTTTGGATTAAAGCATTAATATACAGTTATGAAGTAGTCAAACTCCTGGACATTAAGTGCGTAACTTGGAAACATTAGTGATTAGTATGAAACATTTAAAATCTTGTTTACTGGCTTATTGCAAGCACCACTAATACTTTGTTTAGCTTAGATACCTAGTAGCATTTGTTTGGGTTACTTGAATAAACAGTATACAATGGAGATTTTGTTTAATTTACATATAGCAGAAAAGCAACTGAGTTTAAAAATTGAAAGCTTGGTTTTAAAAGTTTGGAAACTTAAATGTTGAAAGCTTCATGAAAATAAATACATCCCTGTTTAACAATTATTTTTCTGTTATTGTTTCACATGTAATAAAGCAGATGCTGTAATTATTATGTTAATGGATTGTAGTAACACTAGTTAAGCATTTAGCACATGTACCATTGGCTGTTACCATGTGTACATACACTTGCATGGCTTTGATAAGTTAAGTTGAAAATTAGTTATCTTTCATTTTTATTTTCAAAATTGGTTAAAGTGAAAGCATGGGATGCGTTTCCTGTAATCTTTATTTTAAAAAATGTTTAAGTGACCTAAATGCTGTTATAAGTAAGCTGTTAGTATGCTTTTGCAAGAAAATTAACTTTTCAATTTCATTAGTAGTATTATATTAACAAGTTGTTGGGTTGTTTATTGATTATGATGAAGATGCACTTTAGAATGAATATTTGATCATTTATAGATAAAACATTTTTTTTAACCTCAATTTACGAAAACATTTTTGTGGCTACTAAAAGTTATGTTTTAAATACCTAATAATATAGATATCTATTTGTTTCAACAATAATAAAAAAAAATGTAGTAATTTTATTTCTTTAATAAATTATCTGAATCTTAGGTACAAAACCGATTTCTTTCTTAAAGCAATTTGGATGAGCATCCTTAACCATCTTGCACCATTATGATATATTTCTCTGTAGACCAGAAAAGCGCTTCAGGAAAGCCTCTGGCATCTCCAAGTCCTTATTGTGACTTCTGTCTAGGAGATAATGTAGAGAACAAAAAAACAAGACAAGCAGAAGAGCTTGTATCTTGTGCAGACTGTGGACGATCTGGTATGGTTCAAGTTCTGATTGTGGTTATAAGTACAAGAACTTTATTATCTGGTATCTTAAGATAGTGTAAAGAATCAGATATGTAATAGAAAAATATTCTGAATCATTTTGCAATAAGTTTATGAAATAAGAGTTGCCTTGTCACCTCATTTTATAGAAAAAAAATGTTAATTTAAAAATGAATAAAATTCAAATCCTCTGATTAATGTTCTACAACTAGGTTTCCATTTGGAGAAAGTTCTGAGTTACACCACCAGAAAAATTTTACTTAAGAACAATTTAAAAAGTTATATTGCTTATGTGCTCATTGATGTCTTACCTAATGGCTTTAAAACAAGTCTTTTGTTTTTTCTTTAAGCACTCTGAACTGCTTGGGAGCCTTGTAGTTAATTATTGTATTGAGATTAATTAGTGTATTGAGACTTTGTGGTAAACTTGAATCATAAATTGTATCTTTTTTAGTTTATGTAAAATTAGATTATAATAAATTCAGACCTAGTAGTATTGGACCACCTCATGTGATATTATATACATTTGAAGACATCGTGTGTATTTTTAATATAATTCATGTTTATAACAAATTCCATATTTAATTTCAGTAGAATATGTAATTTTTATTTTTTTCTATGTTTAATAGCCTTCATTCCATCATTTGGTTCTGTTTTGTACAAGTGATTGCATATCCATTTATTTACTTACAGCACTGGTCAGAGTTTGATTATTTACATATTTAAATATATATTTACAAATGCATGTTTATGTGTGTACATAGAACACAGTTCAATTTCATAATGTGACCATGTGTATGGAGGAAAGTTTCCAGTATTTTCTTAAAGTTGACAACTTTTTTCAGATTCTAGGCCATGAATGAATGGAAAAAGTAGAAAATTCTGGAACTATATAAAGAATATGTATTCAATATGATAAGTTAATGTGAGCTCATGATTACAGCTATAGAAATATAAAAGTTTTACTGACATAGAAAAATTAAAATTTGTAAAAGTTCAGTTACATTATTTTAGAATTTATGTGTTTAAGCTCCCTTGTTCATATTTAAACTAATATAAAGCACATCAGGAATGCTGGATTACATCTTAATATATGGACAGATTTTTGTTGTATTTATGTTTGTTTTTGTTCATACCAATTTAAATGCTAAGTTTGTTAGTAATACAACATTTACTGCTATGTTTTATACTGATGCTAATGATCTGTGTGTGTTGCAGATAAACAGACAAGTCAGACATCAAATCTGTGTTCATAGTCCATCTTTATTACCAGTTTTCAAACACTGGAAAGTTATGAACAGCATTTTCATGTGCTACACCAATTTCTAATCATGTTTTTTTTTAACTCGCATTTTGTTTTGTTGAGATTCTCTTTATGCAAAATGGGTAGTGAGGAATACAGTAGTGGAGGAAATATTGTTTAGCTTATACATACTTTTGTATCTTTAATATGTCTTTTTAAGTTAAATTGTTAAAATAGGTGTATTGAAAAATGTTGGTCATTTACTGAAAAATAAAAAAATTTTGCAAAGTATAAGTTCTTACAGATGTCATGTTGGGTAAGGTATAATCTTCTAAAAGTTTTTTTTTAGTAGTATTTGTAATCAAGAGAGTGTGAAATGGGTTTAAAGCTTTTAGTTTGTACAAGTCATTTAAAACGAATAGTTTTTCTATTAAATATAAAGTACAATTTATTTTAATTTATATTGAATAATCAAACTGTTTCTAGTATTTTATTTCACATGACAACTAAACATCTCTCATGTGTTATTGAATTTAATTTTTTCATCAATAGCACATCCAACTTGCCTTCAGTTTACTCCAAACATGACAATCTCGGTAAAAAAATACAGATGGCAGTGTATTGAATGTAAATCTTGTGGCCTGTGTGGAACTTCAGATAATGATGTAAGTGATAGTGACTTCAAAAAAGAAATATTTTTGTAATTCCACACACTATTCCCAATACTCGGTTGCCCGACAGACAGAAATACAAAATCTTAGTATAAAAATTGTAATAAAAAGCATGCTGGATTTATTGAGGGAAAATGTTTTTTGTGTGTGCTAACGAAAACAGTACATTAAACCTACAGTGATTCACTTATGTCACATTTCAGATTAAAGACTGCATTACATTAAACCTACAGTGATTCACTTACTTATGTCACATTTCAGATTAAAGACTGCATTACATTCACTAAAGTTAAGGAAGTTACCATAATAATATTTTAAGAAGTACCTGTAACTTGAGAAATTTAAATGTCAAAATTGTAGAATATGTAAGCAATAGTCTTTTTTAATGCACTACACTTAAAGAGCTCTTTTTTTTTGATGAAACTAGTAGCTCCTAATGGAAATAAAAGAAACAATGTAATGTTAGAAAAACAGCTTTACTATATGTAAAGTTCTGGTTTTTATGTCTTGAAGCTCTCAAGAAAGTCTCTTTTATTTTTGTTTTATCTTTCTTTCAGGACCAGTTGCTGTTTTGTGATGACTGTGACCGAGGTTACCACATGTATTGCTTGAATCCTCCATTGTCCGAGCCACCAGAGGGTAAAGTTGGATTTTCTGTATTGCCATGTGAAATTTTCAAACTTGAGTTATTCAAATCAGGTAGACTTGCATCTGAGATACTGAAAGTCTTTGCAAGTTGAGGTTGAACTCTTGCTGTCAACAGAATGTGTCTCAGAGTTGTGAATTACAGAGCATGCATCTTTTATCCATGATTCCCCACTCTTCTGTCTTTCACATGACTTATTACATAAGCTCTGCTTTTCCACCATAATTTGGGTGTTTTTTTATGGACAATGTGCTGTTAACTTTGGTATGGGGCGTTATAAGGTGACGGTCAACCCCACTATTCATTGGTAAAAGAGTAGCCCAAGAGTTGGCGGTGGGTGGTGATGACTAGCTGCCTTCCCTCTAGTCTTACACTGCTAAATTAGGGATGGCTAGCGCAGATAGCCCTCGTGTAGCTTTGCACGAAAATAATAAAAAAAACAACAAACAAACCATAATAATCAAACAATCATGAAGATCTATATCTTGCTTAGGCCAACTTGCCTTCACAGTCTGCAGAGCTGGATTCTTCTGCTTATTAACCCTAATCCTGATGACACATCTACTTGTCTCATCTCTTTTTCTCTTTCAGGTAATATGTTTTTATTCTCAACATTGAACCTATTTCCATTACACCTGAGGGTACTTGTATCATGTAAAACGATTTCCGTACTTGAAACTTTTATTCCTCCCACTGTTTTCTGATATTGGGGTTGCAGATGTTTTTCAAAACCAGTTCTGTATTAAATAAATTAGACAGCACTTGTGCACATGTTTTGACAGTGCACTATGCCACCATCATCAGGAGTAACAGTTATAAGTAAGACGCTGACTTGTATACCTACAAAACAATAAATTTACATAAACTAAATCCTCAGTGTCATCTCAACCCCAAACATAATAACTACACCATCTACAGGAAAGCTAACTGTCATTAGCAGATCTTCCATGTGGTTTTTACTTTGACCCATAGTCACTTTTCTGACTGGCACTCTATGATTTTTCTTGTTTTGAGACACTTTTTCTGAACCATTAGTTGCTATTCTTGTTCAGTTCCTGTCCTTGTTATGCCATCACTGTGTTTTGGTACTCACATTCAATTCAACTATAATGGCATATATCAACAGATAGGGTGGAACTCAATCTTACAGCCTCTGCTTGCTGCCATTTCTCTACTTCTTTGGCTTTATTCACATCATGTCTTCTTCTGTTTCATTGGTTGTGCCAACAGTTTGATTAACCTCTTCTTGATGTATTTGTGATGGTAGTACATCATCTTCTGATGCTTTACTTGTTTACAATTCCAAGTTGAGCTTCCCTACCAGCGAGTACTTTGAGCCCATTTGAGGAGAATTTTTCTCTATATGTTATTCTATTCTTCATCTTCTTTCTTGAGTATTAACCATGATCAGTTGGTCCTTTTGTTCATTTCTTCTTCTTATTGCCCCATGGTGGACTGCTTCAACAAGTTTTTATTTTATTTTATTGCATCTCCACAAATACCTAGACATTACCCTCAGTGGGATTTAGGTTTCCTGGCTTCTCCCTTTGAACACTTTGCAACTTGTTCACTCTACCATCTTTCCCTTTGTTGCTCACTTCCTTGTGGAGATGATCAGACATTTTTTTTGCCATTGTTGTTTTTCATACTTTTTTCCAGGAAGGTTCTTTACCTATATCCTGATGGAGCCTTCCTACAAGAGATTTGGGCTACAAGAAATGGCCACAGCTATTTATCCTATTGTGTTACCTTCTCTGATTCATGAAGAATGTTTTCTATGTCTGGTTAGGGCTGTTTGTTCTTGTAAGGACAGAATCAGCATTGCTTATTTAAGACAGTTCTTGTTCCATAAATTTTTCTCCATACATATTAACAAATTGACTTATTTACCATGATGTTCCTAATCACCTTAAGCATGGATTTCAGGTTACTTCTCATCACATTCACCATTTTATTACGTCTTTGGCCTTCTGGCCTCTATACCCTTTAGCATCAAGGGGACGAATGTACGTGTTTTTATGCTTTTTACCTTAATCACGTTGCTGCATCTTCAGTTTCAGTATTACGTTTGCCAACTGTGGTTATCCATTATTCTCTATATCATGCAAGTTTCATATATTCTGCACTATACCCATTAACCATATCCAGGGTATCTAAAATTGTGAATAATTTTCATTTCACAACAAAAAATACAAAACAAGACAAATAAAATACTTAAATACAGTATATTTTCCAGCTCCCCAGATAATAAATTTTGGTGTGTGTGTGTGGTTTTTAAGGTTATTTTATTATGTATAATGAATATTAAAAAATCATGGTCTCTACATCTGTGAGACTTTGTTTATGGATTCATACAGTCATACATTGCTATCCACTTTTTCTTTTCTTTTTTGTGGGAAAGGAAGAGAAATATATTTTGCTATGTTTATTTTAATTTGAAATTGAAAAAATGTTACAAAGATTATTGGATAAGTATTAAAACAGACAGAAAAAAATGAGACATTTCTTTTTTTCATCAACAGGTTCATGGAGTTGTCATCTTTGTATCGAAGAATATCATGGTGGAAAGAAGATACAGTAAAATTAATTTCAAGACCTGTTGTAATTGTTTACTGCTCTTTATGACATTAATATATGTGTCTTGAGGTCTCACATTAAAATAGATTTCAGTCAACATCACTGAGTAAACACATTTGTTATAGGATACTCCAGTTATTTTTATTTTGTGATACAGGTGTTATGATTTGTTGGAAGAAAGTTAAGAAAAGCTGTGAATAGATTTAAATTGTTTGTAAGTACGTTTGAGGGCCAAAAGTATTCACACTTAAGAAAAATTTATATGATTGATTGGTAAAGTATTTATTGTGTTGTTTTGTATTTTTTTATCTTAAAGAAATTTATTTTAAATACAAAATAAGAAAATGGTCAGTTTTCAAAGATAAATGATGATAGCTATTTTTAAGCCAATTCCAATTTATTAATTTCCTAATTTAGAGATTTTTTGTATGTAGTGGAAAAATTAACCTACACCCCTACTGAATATAAAATGTAAAACACCTTAAATCATTATTAGTGCTTACAAAACAATAATGAATGTGTTGTAAGCAAAGGGAAGTAATGATTTTTTTTATTTTCTTGCCCAGCTTTTGCTTTGGTAAGCTTTTCCCTGCAAGCATACACACATAATACGATGGAGAATGTCTTATAAAAATGTGATTAATACTGACATAAAAAATAACATTCTAGTAGTGAGAAATTGCTTATAAAATGTGTGTATCTTTATCTTTCTTGCAAAACTCTCAAAATATTTTTGTACAATTTATTTTGTTTTTTTTTAAATTATTGAAACTGTGGATGAAATAAAATTTATTTTATTATAATGACTAAGGTTTAAAAAAAGTTGTATTTTTCTGTAACAAATGTGTTATGTAGTACTTACTTTTTGTAATTTTTTTAGTGTGTTCTATTTTTACTAGTAAACATTTACAGTTTCACCATGCATTTCCAAACCTGTTTGTAGGCTGTGTATTTTTATGCTTTTTGTATTCTTAAGAATTTCTTGGGAACTTGATGACTTGGAACTCCTGCTGAAATCTTAATATCAAATCTATCTACATGGTGAGTTGTGTAACCAATGTGTGTGTGCATGTGTCATTGTATATTTGCAACAAATGATTACACAGTTGTTTAAAGAAGAGTTTATGCAACTTTGCACTGAATACCTTTAAAGTTTCTTCATCAGAAAGATTTCTGAAAGTTGATGTAGATGAAGTAATGTGTCATTGTGTTTTCAGAAGACATCATCCTTGGAAAATCAGTAATTTGAAAAAAATAATTATATTTTTACCAGTTTTTTATTTTGTATACTTGAATAGTGTTGGTTAGTTTGTATACAATGGACATTTTTATCTTTAAACCATATGCATTGTTTTCCTTTTCATACTTGGTGAAATATATTGCTTTAAATCTGAAATAGTTCAGTTGGGTAAAAATATTTTTGAAGCCGTAGAATGGATCATTAATAGTTTTTCATTCTTTCTGTCGTTTCTGATTGAATATATGTTAATTATGTATATCGCTTGTTTTTAATACTTCACTGTAACATTTTGCTTGGTACTTCAAGGTTTGGAATTAATAAATTAAATATCTAATTAGAAATTAGTTGATTAGAAAATAATTCAAAACATGAATATCAGAATAGATAGGAAACAAGCCATTTCAGTAACAAGTTAAAATGTATTACTGTGCATTTTTCTTGCCATCTGATTGTGATTTGTGTGTACTAACCGTCCTTTTAATAGATATATATATATATATTTGGTAAATATTGGTAGCTAAAGGTCTCAGAAAACAATACACATAGTTTAATGTCTTGCTATTCTGTTTACATATGTATATATATGCAAGTAACTTTTTACCTCTTTGTTGATAAGTGAATAAGCATATAAAATAACTTGGTGAAGCACCAGTTACCTTCAGTGAAATTTATTAAGCTTGTAAAATATCTATACAGCACCACTGGTTGAGTATTTTCTTACCGTTTCAAGTGGAAGACTTATTGCTGATAAAGTGAAGACTATGCCATAAGCCTTGATGTTCTGGTTTGTCAGTTGATGTGGATGTCACATTTTATAATTAAATATCCACTGTCACTGATCTTTGTTTTTGCTGGCAGATCAGGAAACACTTAGCATGCGAAAAGGTCTAACAGTTGTCACTTGTGAATTGTCAGTTCAAGATAAGCATTGTAATACAAAATAACTGTCATCTAATTATTGCAACTTTGGATTGGTGCAGTTGTTTGATCTCTTAGGTAAAGTTGCATTTTGATCACATTTGGAGAAAGTATTGCCGCTTGTACTTGTATGAACATGTGTCTAGCTTTCTGTCAGGTACCAAGAATGATGTTTAAATCAAAAGGTAATAACATGAATATTTTAATCAAATATTTCAGATTTATATGAAAAAATGAATTTTGGCCTTACATTTGTGTATGTTTAGATAAATGTTTTGTCAAGCTATTGTATATTTACATTTATATGATTATATGTATATTGCTTGCAAATTCTGGAATATTTCAGTATAGTAATAAAACATTTTACAAACTGAATTTGTACTTTATTCATTAAGAGGTTCTGAGCTTTAGTTTGGGAGTGGTGGTGGTGTACTTTCAACATGATAACTTTATGGTGGATTTTTCAGGACTGTTGTCAAGGTGCACAGCTGTCAGGTGCAACATGACTAAACATGGTGACATAGACTGTAACGAAGTGGTAGGCTCCAAAATCGTTTTAATATAAAGTACCTAACCTCTCTATAATATTTAAACATAAGTCATGTATTGCTTAACATTTACATGTTTAGTCCTAGTTGCTCAGCAGTAAACATGTAGGCTTATAACACTAAAACTAGGGTTTCTATACACGTGGTATGCACAGCACAGATAGACCATTGTATAGCATTGCGCTTAACTACAAACAAACAAAAACTTGCATGTTGAGCCCATAATATAGCTTAACATTTAAATAGAAGGTTATTTTGCTAATTATCATTTAAATATAAATATTATCTTATTGTATATAAGTAATTTATTAATGTAAATAAGGCCATTTTATGAAATATGTTGTAGAGTGTCACAGTAATATTTTAAATTAATTCTTTAATGAATAATGAAAGAGTGTTTTCAGATATTCCTATCAACGTGTATGGCTCTCAAGAATCAATTTTCTTAAAAAATTAATATTGACACTCATACTTCAAGATCAACATATCAACCCAAAGATATAAACCAAAAAAACTGACGTTTCAAAATCACACCATGATTGTAAGTTTTTAATGTATGTATCAGGTTTTTTTTCACTTCTTGTGCATTGTTTTACATGATAATTTTCCATCTGTTCTATCAAACCAACCTTTATGCTCACAATTTTGAAAACTGTAAATTACATATACATTTTTTATCTTCATTGCTAACATTTTCACATTACTAATTTGTTAACATGTCTTAAAAGTATGTGAAATCTTTCATATTCAGCCTCTTTAAGATTTATACGAATAGTTGTTTCTACAAACTTTTTATGTAAAGAGTGAAATCAAAAGTAAGGTAATTGTCATTTGCATGAAATTTATTTCCATTTTGAAGAATGTCACGTTTATAGAACAAAAACATCATTGTAGCCTTTTTTTCCAGTAGAGTGTGTTGGAAAGTCATTATACAGAGGAAACTATAGAATAAACGGAAATTGGCTTTTCAACCCTAAAGTCATGCATCCGTTGTTTGATGGTGTTGAAAAAAATCTTCAAAAGTGAAGCCACTTTTGTTCGTGGCCTTTCATTTTTGACTTTGATTTGCACTGTAAGAATGTTTTTCAACATGTTCATGTCATTTAAAATGCTCTGCACACTTAGAGTAAATAACAAAAACGGTTTTCCCGTCTGTTTATTATAACTTTGGTTGTTCGAAGTCTAATTAATCGTATCTAAGTCTGTTAATCACGGGACGATCTCGGACAATGAAAGTGGTTATAATGAGAAGAACAAAGTATCTTATTATTGCTATTCCTCCTGCGTTGTGTTGTAGTTTTTTTTTTTCTTTGTTGATTAGATTCCAACGGTTTAGGACAATCTCTCTGTTTAACTTCAATAGGAACCCCATCGTGACTTCATCCACAACGCTCACATTTCATGCCAACCTCATATGTTGTACTTATAACTGAGATTAGTGTAAATATGACTTGAACAATCATCACCCAATGTTTAATAACTAGTTTAGCAATGAACAAATCTCTGTAAGTAATTATTTTACACAAGACGTTGAACTTTTACCCAAATCATGACACAAATGGTGTGGGGGGGGGGATAAACTCATTTTCAAATGAGGAGTATAAACGTTGTATGGTTCGAAAGTTATGACAGTATGCTATTGCCAAAAGGCAGTTTTAGTGCTTTTTTTTTAATTCTTTTACGGATATTGTGATGGCTAAAATAACTAGTAATTTCTCTACTATCGACTCTCGACTTTAAGTCTATTATACCTTTCTTTTGTTTGTTGTTGTTGTTGTTTCGAAGCAAAGCCACATTGAACTATCTTCTGTGTCCACCACAGGGAATCGAACCCCGAATTTTAGCATTGTAAGTCCGTAAACTTATTGCTGATCCACCGGCCATTTTATCACGCGATAAACAGTTGGATTTATAAAATTCATAAGTGATTATTAATCTGCAAAAACAGATTTAGTTAATAACTGACAAAAAATATAACAATTCAAATTTAAAATAGTACCTTTTTAAGAAAAAGAAAACTCGTGGAAAAATAATATACAAATAATACATAGATTTCAGTGAAATTTAAATACATTTCAAAATCCCTTAACAATAAATAACTTATTTACTTTGGGTTAAGAGAATATTTTTGTACTTGCACTGATTTGTAGGGTTTGATCTCTCTCATTTAATTCTGCCATTGCTAATTTGCAAGAAGTTTTTAACATGTATTCAACAGTTCAATTCAAGGCTTGTTTATGTGGTTTACTTACCTGTGTTTGAAAGTTTCTTCTATGAAGTACTTCTGCATTCTTATTGGTTTCTGTTTACACCGGATCTGTGTTCGAACGTTTCAGCCATTACTGGTTAACATGGATTACGTATCTGTGTTTCAATGTTTTCTTCTAAGACTAACTTGTAGGAGTTACTCACCTATGTTAGAAACCTTTTGACAACGCAAATTGGTAAAGATTGCTTACCTGTTTTCACATCTTTCTGCTAACGCAGATTGATAAGGATCACTCACCTGGGTTCACATGTTTCTGTAAACAAAGCCTAGTAAAGATTGCTTACCTATGTTCACATTTTGTTGTTTATGAGGTGAAACAAAAGGTACATGTAGTATACATAATTCCCAGTAAGAATTTGTTCATGATCAGTAATACTGTAACTATGTCGTTTAGATTAGTCAGTTATTAAATTCTTTTGTTCAAAAGTAAGATTATATTAAAGATCAGAACCAAAAACAAGAATAAATTAAAACAAATGTAAAGTAGAAAATTAAATTCAATATAGATTCAAATTTGTTAGTTCGTTCATCACCCTCGAAATGAATAATATTTCCGGCTGTAAAACATAATATCTCACGAGGTTTTCGGCTAGTTTAGAAGATTTGTTTTAACTCTAATTCCCTAAACTAAGCTAACAAAGCAAAATAATCTTTATGAGTACGTAATTAATAATGATAATATCGACAAATATTTTAAATACTATGGCTAATAAAAATAATGAAAATAACTTAATGGACTATATCAAGTAATTTCAGAGAGTGTAAATAAGCAATGACACACTACTTGATATAGGCCATTAAGTTTTTTTTTCTTTTTTTACATAGTCCCACAGTGGTATGTCTGCGGACATACAACGCTAGAAACCGGGTTTCTATACCCATGGTGGGCTGAGCACAGATAGCCCATTGTGCAGTTTTGTGATTAATTACAAACAAACAAATTCTTTCAGAATTTTTCGCACAATAGCTACATAAATAATATGGCTGTACTTAATTTTGAACTGGTATACTAGGAGAAATGTAGCTACTTAACAGCATAAACTACTAGCTCTTGGCTGTTGTCTGATCGACTAGATTGACCTTCACTCTTATAACGCACTCACGTCTCCAAAGTGTGGAGCGCCTATTTGCAGTAACGGGCCATGAATCTTAAACGCTCGGATTCACAGTCGAAGTACACTAACCACTGGACCACACCCAGGCCTGTTCAACATATGATTTTTATACAGTTCTTTTTAGGGTTTTGCAACTAACCACTGGGCCACGCCCAGTCCTGGTCAACATGTGATTTTTATACAGTTTTTAGGGTTTTACAACAATATTTCAGCACTTCCCGTATTTTTCACTGCAGCTTTAATTTAAATAAAACAATATCTAAACTATCGTTTGTAAATTAAAGCGAGAAATTATAATTTTTTATTGGAATATTTAATTAATAACATTGCGTTTCCTTAACTCATATTCAAAACAACGAGCCAACAAAACAAAAGGGTGTTAGCTTCTGTTTAGTAAAACAAGCTTGTTCTGACCCCAACTTTCGAACGTGTTTACAAAATATCCACATAGCTTATGAAAGGCACCTATTCCGAGTAGTTACTTCAAAGCTTCTCACTACTTTCCTAGTTATAATTACTTCAAGACTAAACAATGACCGACGAGTTACGTGTAATGTAATAAATTCTAGTTTCATTCATAAGCTCTCTTGTTCTGTGTCTTACTTGTACTTGAAAAACTAGTTGTGATGCAATCGTTATTCTAAGTCACAAAAGTAAATTACAGTTGTTTTGACTATGTAAAAACATACCAAAATATACGAGCTAACCCTAACTATTGGTTAACGTATCGGGCTGCCGATCTGAAAGTCCAACAATTATTGTCAGCCATTTCCTTTATTTGGTTCAGAATAACCGCGTAGGCAATAGCTACTGGTGACTAGTTTGCCTCCCTCTGGTCAGCAGCTCTAAATTAACCTAACCATTTAGCCAATGTATGCTATCCATATTGAAAATATAAGATGTAAAATAAATATCCTAAATAAATGAAAATTTTTTCGTGTAATGCAAGGGAAAATTCAAGAATTACCCTTTGTATTTCTTGGCACATGCGTTGAAAAACGTGTACAAGTAAAGAAAACTAAAAAAGGAAAAAATTGTAGGGTGGCTAATATCAACCCTTCAAAAACAATGTAAAAAAAAAGATAGTAGGGATGACGTTTGCATCATCCCTACATAGTAACACAGACACACACATTATAGTAGAATGTTGACCGACAAAAATAAGATTAACTCAGTTGTGATTGAATAGTTATATATACTGCTATAAGTTAATTCTTGCCTGTACTATTATGTAGGGATGAGGCAAATGCCATCCGTACTGTCTTGTGGTGATAAACATCACAATT